AGACCCCCCCCCACCCCCGGCATGGCCACGGTCCAGGCGGTGTAATCCCCACGGGGGGAGCACATGAAATCAGATGGACAAGTTTTGATGTGAGGCAGCAGCTTAGGGTGGGCTCAGGTTTCCTTTAGGTTTTCTATATTTATCTCCGTGATTTAATGCCAGCGCCGGGGTTTAAATGGCACCAAGCAGTTGGCGTGGGGAGAGGGAGCCGCCGTCCCCGACCCGCACACACACGTCCCCGCGCCCCCATGGAGCTCTTCGAGACCAACCCTTATTTTTTCCCGGACCAGCGTTTTTACGACGGGGAAAATTTCCTGGGCTCCCGCTTGCAGGGCTACGAGGCGGCGGCGTTCCCCGAGCGGCCTGAGGTGGCCCTCTGCCCCGATGGCAGGGTGGCTTTGGAGGAGAAGGACTCGTCCCTGTCCGAGCACTGTCCTGGGCAGTGCCTGCCCTGGGCCTGCAAGGTTTGCAAGAGGAAGACGGTCTCCATCGACCGGCGACGGGCAGCCACCCTGCGGGAGAAGCGCCGGCTGAAGAAGGTGAACGAGGCCTTCGAGGCGCTGAAGCGCAGCACCCTGCTGAACCCCAACCAGCGCCTGCCCAAGGTGGAGATCCTGCGCAGCGCCATCCAGTACATCGAGCGCCTGCAGAGCTTGCTCAGCTCCCTCAACCAGCAGGAGAGGGAGCAGAGGGACCTGCGCTTCCGACCCACCGCCCCCCAGACCGGGGTAAGTCCTGCTGCGCCTCCCCCGGGACCCCAAACCTGGGCTGGGGACCAGCATGGGGGTGATGCTCTATGGGGGTGATGTCCTATGGGGTTGATATTTTATGGGGGTGATGCTCTACGGGGGTGATGTCCTATGGGAGTGATATTTTATGGGGGTGATGCTCTACGGGGGTGATGTCCTATGGGAGTGATATTTTATGGGGGTGATGCTCTACGGGGGTGATGTCCTATGGGAGTGATATTTTATGGGGGTGATGCTCTACGGGGGTGATGTCCTATGGGAGTGATATTTTATGGGGGTGATGCTCTACGGGGGTGATGTCCTATGGGAGTGATATTTTATGGGGGTGATGCTCTACGGGGGTGATGTCCTATGGGAGTGATATTTTATGGGGGTGATGCTCTACGGGGGTGATGTCCTATGGGGTTGACGTTGTAGGGGGGTGATGCCCTATGGGGGTGATGTCCTATGGGGATGATGTTGTGTGGGGGTGATGCCCTCTGAGGGTGTTGCTCTAGGGGGTTGGTACTCTGTGGGGGGTAATACTCTATAGGAGTGACACTCTATGGGGGTGCTGCCCTAAGGGGTGATGCTCTATGGGGGGGTGATGCCCAATGTGGTTGATGTTGGATGGGGGTGATGCCCTATGAGGGTGTTGCTCTAGAGGGGTAACACTCTATGGGAGTGACATTCCATGGGGGTGATGTTCTATGGGGGTGGTGACCTGTGGGCATGATACTCTATGGGGATGATGCCCTATGGGGGTGATATTCTTTGGGGTGATTCTCTACTCTGTGGGGGTGCGTGATACTATGGGGGGTGACACTCTA